TTAGGCGGACATGACGTCACAATTAACTCTTGAAGCGCGCCATCTTTATTCATTTTGTTGTTATTCCTTCGTTTTGTAGTAAATCGAAATCTCGTACTAATGACCGTTCCGACATATAGTTAATGGTTTAAAAACCAATTCTTGAATTAGCTGAAAGTTGCAATTTAGAAAAATTCTGAATTTCTTTGTTAACTACGTTGCTCCGCACTAGGATTTTCTCCCGTGTCGTGGTTGCGTTTACGTTTGCAAACATACAAGTTCACCTGCACATCACATAGCATCATTCATTTGAAAGTAGTGTCTTTTAGGTGGGAACATCATCGAATGATCCCCGCCTGCATTAGGCGGGAGGGAGTGTCAGACTCTTACTAACCAAGAACCACGCTATTTCTTCTCCTGCACTTCGAGCCGGAGCCCTGGTAACCTTATACGTTCTCCGCGGCTTCGTGCGGTGATGCTTCGAAATTGAAAGTAGTGTAGGCAGAGGATTATCTGTTATCCACTCAGTTATTTACCGCAATTAAAAACGAATTAAGTATCCAGCTCATTAACCAAGTTACATTCTAACCTTCGAAACCTAGACGCCCACAGGTTGTCCGACAAACTATATCTAATGCATGTCCAAGCCTTTGTTTAGTTATTTCAAGTCATACCCACAGGTTTTAGCAAGTTTAAATGTTAAAGTAAAATCCTGTTGTAAGCCTTTTCGCTATTGTATCTGCCACAAAGGTCATACGTTAGGGATACTTTACACTATGCTTGAAAAGATTGAAGTAGTCTAGCTAGGTGTATAGCCATCAGACTACCACAGATGGGGCCCAAATAAGGCTAATGCCGATACAGAGCAGCGGAGGGTTTAACGGAGTAGCATGGAGTTTGGAATTGTGCCTTGTATATGGCAATAGGCTCACCCTCTATTACATGGGACTCATTAAATAAATAGTGAAAAGTGGGTGTTACATTGTACAGTGACATTAAGTGCCGTAATATGCACCTACGCCTGCTCCTTTGGGGATAAAGTTACGATGAAATAATCAAATATTTTCTATTAAACTGTCAAACACCAATCGGTCACCGGTGACCGCAACCTATTGTTCTTTAATTGTGTCTATAATGACGGTACTCGACGAGTTAATACTATTAATATACCGTCATTATAGATACAATTAAAGAACAATAGGTTGCGGTCACCGATGACCGCTTGGTGTTTGACAGTTTAATATAATAATCACGAACATTGGCACTCGTCTAAGCACTAGGATTATAAAATTCAATCTTCATAACAAACTTACTTGTACTTAGGTTTGATAGTCCTCAATAGTCTTCATTGTGTAAACAGGGACTGAAACCTCACTTTGACATTGTTTCGACAGTCCTTAACTAAGTACGCTGTTGAATGCAAATGTAAACTACAGAATAGTATTAACATCGTGTAAAGAGATTTAATAGTGAATAATATTATACAACAACGTTAATCCCAATCTCCCCAATTCCCAAATTCCCAACGATCCTCAAACTCCTAATCCCCAAAAGGCCGGTAACGCACTTGTAACGCGTTTGGTGTTCCATGTGTCCATGGGCGACGACGATTGCTTACCATCAGGTGATCCGTCTGCCCGTTTACCGGCTTATGTCATAAAAAAAACGCCTTTTAATTATCGCAGAGATAGATAGAAAATCAGATTCAACTATTATCTATTATTTTGTTCTTTTCGCATTCTATTAATTTGTCGTCAAAAAGGCTGAAGGGCTGGTCCCTTCAGCCGGTTGAGCCGATGAAATTTGGAATACGGTGCTTACTCTTGAAACGAATCTCAATGTAAACGCAATTTCAATCCAATAAAATCTCAATAAGTATTCAATAACATCAAAACTGTTAAAATAGCATTCACAGTACGGAATATAAAGCCAAACTCAATATCACCTAATTCATTAAATACCTACACAATACGGACGCTATTGACGCTAGTGTTGTAACTTAAGGGTATGAAATATCACAATATCAATGTCGATCGATCGGAATTGGATTCAAGACTAAGCCCGCAGGGGTAGATAATGGTCGGGAATACCACAAAGGCTACTTTTTTCCTACGCGGGTGAAGCCGCTGGTAGAAGGTAGTATTCTCTTTTAACCTGTTGTGTAAAAAATCCTATGTAATAAGGGGTGAGCTTAATATCCCCATAATGATGGCCAGTCATAGAACGCAACGAGATAGTCCAGTGTTTCTCCTAGTATGTACTAATATTAATGTCTTATACTTTTCGTTGGGTTTCTTCCTTAAAATCACTTATATTATATTCTAATTAACAACCAACAATAGGTTACATATTACTCATTAAATACAGAAGAAAATCATTTTCTTCTGTAATTTTCTATAGTTTGGGGGCAACGATAAAAAAAAAGAAAAAACTTTATTTATTGACCAGAAAAAAAGGTTAATAAACTGTCCAAAGGTCAAGAAAATAATTTTCTATAGCTGTACTTTATAACATACTAGCGACCCGCCTCGGCTTCGCACGGGTGCAATATATATATACATACAAACCTTCCTTAAGAATCACTCTATCTATTAAAAAAAACCGCATCAAAATCCGTTGCGTAGTTTTAAAGATCTAAGCATACATACGGACATACAGCGAAAGCGACTTTGTTTTATACTATGTATTGACATATATAACAGAAATAATTATTTTCCTTCTAACTGTGATTTCCTCTGAGTATCGAACCGCTAACTGAGTGGTCTAAGTGTGTTTGCCTTGTAGTAAGTCATGTCCCGCAGTGTTACCCGCTCAAATAATTATTTACAACCTAAGGTCACAGCTTGTGGCTTTTTTATTTTTTTTTTCTTTTGCTGAAATGTCGAGGGACATTTCTGTAAAAGGTTACACTTGATTGATCAATTCTTACTAACTAGTGGCTGTTTTTCGAAAATAAAGTTTTTAAAAGTAATATCTTAGATGTGTAGTATACCGAAGTTTGGTAAGGTTTGAGTGTTTAATAGATTGATTACCAATATTAAGAATTTTGACAATGTAAAATTATAATACATACATAACTTGACGCCTGTCTCCCATAGGGGTAAGCAGAGACTACGGAACGCCAATTGCTACGAATCCAACATACTTCTTTCGCTTCATCAACGGTGGTCAGTCTTTTCATGGATGCTCGTGTCGGTTGTGGGTACTTTTAATTTGGCCCTTCTTTAATATATCGCCAATCTGGTCAGTATATGTCCATCTAGGACGCCCTCCACCGACGGTCCCTTTCATATTCGCTCTGTATACTTCTTTCGTTACTCTACTTTCATCCATCCTTTGTATATATTGTGCAAACATAATTATATTTGTAGCATTAACAACAACCATTAGACATTACACTAAACATATTTGTTAATCATTTTACTTCACTTAGCGAGAAGTGGTAACAGTCTTCGCCGTTAAAATCAAACGCAAATGAAGACACATACAAATATATGCAAATTAACAACCGAACAAACTTATACAAATTACCAAAATAACTTGACCTGTCTGAAGTGCGCTACATGTAATACCATCCTTGTCTCTCACCACACTATGAGCGTATTTCTATCTAAAATAAATAAATAAAAATAAAAT